CCCCAAAACCCCAAAACCCCAAAACCCCGGGAGGTGGATGAGAGATGGGAATATTTAATAATCAGGGTTTTTAATGGGTGATGAGGGGAGGTGGGTTTTGAGGGGCTATAGATGGGGAGGTTAGCTTACTCTGATTGTGGTGGCCGGGTAGAATATTGGGGGGTTGAGGGGGTCTTCTTTGGGTGGGAGAGAGGGAGGGGCAGTGGCTTTCTTTTTGGACCTGGCTTTGGTCTTGCGCTTGCGGTTGTGAGAAGGTTTGAAGAGGCGTTTAGGGGTTCTTTGGCGAGGGAGAGAAGGGATGGGGAGATCTGATTTGGAGGAGTTTTGGATTTTAGCTGGGTTGGATTGCTTGGGTGCGGAAGGTAAGGCTGATTGAGGTTTCATTGACTTTCTTTTGCAAAGCATACATCCAATCATATTTGTTATCTATTTTTATTGATTTAGACTTACTATAAAATCTAAAAAAAAAATTCATGCTTAATATCAGCAAAATTATCAAATTTTTTTTACATATTAAATATTACAATAAATTTCATCTAAATGCTTGAAAAATAGCATTCTCATTATAATTTCAAGTCTTAAACTACTCAATTCTCTCTTTCAGACCTCTGAAATTGGTACTATTTCTCAGTCTCTCTTCTCACTTTTCCAAAAGAGGCAAACTCTCATTACAGATAATTAGTATTAACAAAATAAAAACTGTGACCTTAGGTAAAACTCATTCTTCTCATAATGAACTGATGTGATCTAAGAGCTGCTATTAATGTAAAGCATGCTATTCATAAAACCTTGTCAAAATAAGCAAGCTAAGAGATCTACTTGACTTTCTCCACTATTAGGCTCTACACAGTAAACTTTCTACAAAATAAAATTCTGAATTATCTCTGAACCTATTTAGAAATATAATACAAGAAGACCTAAGCTTTAATGAAATTATTTATAGTTACCATTAAAGCTTATTGTATTATGGAAGGCCAAACTTAAAATTTTGACCAGTTACTGAATCGAAAACCGACATTGTACTCTCAAAATGTTCAGAGGAAATATGTCCCAAATAAAAGTTGCAATTTATACTATAAAGAGAGGTTGACGCTCATAGGATTTAATTGCCTTTTATTTTTGGCAATCCTTTTCCATTTTTCGAAATCTTTATTCCCAATTAAATTTAACTTATTTTGATGAAATAAAGCCGAAATCTATAATACCTTAGCTAGCTTGTACTTTTCTTCGAACTCTTGAGTGAATAGATATGTCCAGTTTAGTATAAATGCAGCATTGACAGCTCAAATAATAAACAAGACAAATGCATCTAAGGATTCTACAGAATTCTGCTCTAAGAAGACAAGACCAGTCAGAATGGTCACCACTCCAGCCATGATTGCTAAGAACTCTACTTGATTATTACTGTCCCTCTTGTATGGCTTCAAACTCATCTGAATCCTCCCTGAGACTACCAAAGTAATTGAAGCTAAGACAATTCTTCCAGTTTCTGGAAGGAGCAGACAGGTTAGCACTATTCCTTTCCTGATAGTGTTCACAAACTCCCAGTAGAAACACTCAGGAGTAAGCCCTTGATACAGAATCAAGAAATATTGCTTGATTTTGTTTTCTTTCCCTGACTTTCTGACCTTGAATAACAATATGAAGGCAATGACAGGCATTGAAATTACCCAGATGATCATAATTGGAAGGGCAATCAGGAAACAATATTTGAGATGTGATGCTGAATATCACTCAATGTTCATGTCAAACCGTGCCAGATCAACTCCTGTATCAATATTGACTCATCTCCATGTATTGATGCTTGTCTGAGTGAGTCTTGGATGAAGAAGGAAAACAATACTGATGAATGAGATAACTAGATTTCTTGTCAAATTAGGAACAAGCTTCTTGCTGAAGAGTCGCATCACTACCCATAAAGCTGCTATAAATGCAAATAATACAACTGGTAGAAATATCGTTAAGAAAAGCTTGAAAACTTCATTTGACTCAAAAGAACCCTTGATTTCATAATCTGTAATAAATCAGTCGAAGGACAAAAATGTGTCAGAGGAACCTCCCAATCGTTTCAGAGGACCAGTAATAGAATCCAGAAAGCTTGGGTAACTCAGAGTCATCGACATAGATGTAGTGATTAGCTGCATGTAGTTGGTGAGAATTCTCAGCAAGACTGATACTTGACTCTCTTCAGTCTTTCTGATATTCAACACAATTAGAGCCATAAAGTAGCAGAAGATTAAGAATAATAGACCTGCAATTCTAAGAGCGTTAATGATAGGTGTTGGACATTTTATACACATAAACTCATTTTGCCTCTCATACTTATCTCCATCGATGATACTACATTTGGATCACATTGGACCTTCGTAGCCTGTTTTTCATTGAGTTGGAGACTCGGATTCTCCAACATAGCCTCCTTGTCACGCTTCTTCATTTAGGCATTGGACAATTTGTGTGGAGTTGGATGTCCTTCTCCAGTATCCTGGACTTACTTTGATTTCTTGTTTCCCTTCACAAACAACATTGTCCACTCATTTATCTCATTGTCTGGAGTTCCACTGTAAGGAATATGTCCCTGTTGATCAAGAGGATCACTGATCTCCAAGATGTTGCTCTCCAGGCTTTCAGTCCCTAAAGTTTGCAATGATTTCTGTATCTGGAGATGATCTGTTATAAATATCAGATATCTTCTTGGTATTTAATGTCTTTGACGAGACTTTAAATTTGACAGAACTAGTTCCTGGCTTGTCAACAAAATATATACTATCTAATACAACTGCTCCTTTTTTTACAATACCAGTATTGGTTCCTTTGATAGTTCCATTACTTCCAGAAGCAGCTGTGATCACAAGCTGGCTGGTGCTATCTAAGTTCATAACTTGATTATTGTAGTCATAAAGCACTAACTCTAATGCATCTCCAAGAATACCAGATCCTATGTCTTGTAGCAATATTGGATCTAAAGTTGTACTCCCCTTCAATCCAATTCTATATGGGTAACTCGCTAAATTTGGACCATATGAGGCTGAGTTGTTAGAGAATATAGTTTGATGCATTGTTGGAGGTTGATAGTTATAATAGATAGCTCCTCCTTCTTCATAACCAATATTGTTAGAGAAGTTTGAACCAGAAATATCTAGTTTACATTTTTGTCTGGATGAACACTCAAATGCAATCGCACCTCCTTTGAAAGCTTGGTTTGAAATAAAAGTAGAATTGGCTATTGTTATCATGGAATCAGTCATTTTAATTGCTCCACCTTTGGCTGTGGATGAATTGCCATTATTTTCAAAAGTGCAGTTTGTCATATTGGAAACAGCTGAGTCTAAAATTTCAACACTATGTGTGCTATTTATGATTGAGACGTTTTTAATCAATTCAAAGTTGGATTCCAAAGCTTTAAAGAGAGACTTTTCTGAATTAGACACTTCTATTGACTCCAGAGATATCATGTTTGTATTTTCAAGAAGCAACATTTGCTGACCTGCAGAGGATTGCAATAATGAAAGATTATTTATCACAAACTGACCACCAACATGTGCCTCTATAAGGGAGATTGAAGCTGTCACATTCTCAAAGCTTATTTTTTGAAGAGTTGCATTTGAAGACTGTATGGAAAATAAAGCAGTCTGAGAATCTTTTAGAGTTGCACTGGTGACATTGACATTGCTATCAGATGATATTAGAATGAATACAACTTCTAATGGGTTCATGATATTTGAAAAAGTTGCATTTTCTAATATCAAGTCTGAGTTGATGATTTCAAAGCTACTACTGCTCAAGGTAATATCTGAAACACTGGAGTCCTGAACTCTGACAATTGACTCATAAGCACTCACAAACTTTTGCTGCTGATATATTTGTGAAGAGTCTTTAATTAGCAATTGTCCAAATAACACCTGCATAGCTACATTAGAATAAGCTAAGGCAGATTTATCAAGAGAGGCCAAATAGTCTTTAAAGTATTCTCCAAGAAATCACAGGTTAGTGCAATTTAGTAGCTCAGATTCAAAATCAGAATTAGAAATTGCCAGATTCTGATAAATATTGGATCTTTGAATAATAGAAACTTCGTTAAATGCAAAGATTTCTCCAATAGAGTTCTCAAGAGCATAATTATGGAAAATGTTGTTCTCAATAAATATAAACTTTCCATTTGTAACAGTTGACATAATTCCGTTTGAAAGTGCAAAGTTGTTTAAATAAGTTCAGTTGGTTCATGTCAATGTGGAACTATCTTTAATCTTAAACACAATTGCAGATGCTCCTGAGTTATTCTGAAACAAGGCATTGTCGATCTTGACCTGAGAATTAGACTCAGTGCTAAAAATGCCAGAGTCCAAATAAACGCTCTCAATGTTAGTGAAAGATGACTGTTCAATATCTAAAGTCGAGCCAAAGCCTGTTCTAATGAAAGACAGAAACTTTAGATAAACTCTATCTACAGTTATCCCTTGGATATTTGTACTAGTTTGCAAAGTATTTGAAGATGTTAAGTATGATTCTGTGTTTATCCTCCCAGATGTGACTTGACTCACAGTCAGATTTACAATAGAAATTGGAGTTTTAAGTTGATGGCCTAACCTTATAATGTCACCTTTACTCTTATATTGAACATTGCTGAATCTAACAGAAATCAAATTTAAGGTGTATGGTTTGTTAGTAATCTGTCTCTGGGTTGAAATTAATGGGTTTGCATGGCTGATAAATCAATCAGTATACGATATATCTTTAGCCACGAGTATTTTCTCAATGTCAGTCTCTCCAACAATGCTGCTAATCATCATGAAAGAGCTTGAAGAGTTGATGAATCTGATTTGATCAATCACAGCCACATCCATGTACTGAAGATTTAGAGATAGCATATCAATAAAAATAGTGAAATCTTTTTCATCTAACGCTCCTGAGTTTAATAAAGTATTGTTCTGGAAAACAAAATTAGTGGCTTGAGTAAGTCTGAAGAAGGAATTTGAGCCATCTAGATTCGTCCTATTGAAATAGTTGTTAGTAATCTGAATCATCGCAGCTACATCTGGAGCATAAATAAAAGGAAATAGCTGAAAGTACGAATTCTCGATGTAGAAATGATCAAATACCATAGTGGAGATATTGAGAGGATGTGTAAAGATAGATGGAGCCCTTGTAAATGATGAAATTCTATAGTTAATGTATTTGATATCTTTAGCAACAAAATTAATTCATAGCGGTCATCCGATAGAGTGGCCAACTGCCTCATCAGTATCAATAAAGGTCACATTAGTAATTTCTTGACTTAAAATTGTCATACCTCCTGAAAGATAGCCAGTGTTTGTTGAATTCCTAAAGACCATATTCTTCATCGTTAAAGTATCAAGGAAAGTTCCTATCATTCCAACAACAGTATAAGGATTACTGCCTCTTACATTTTCTCAAGACAGACCATCTACATCTAGATGCTCATGTCTATAGTGCTGTGTGTTTGCTGCAATAGCATTTAAAACGATATAGTTAGGAGAAGGCGATATAAAATCAAGATTCACATTTTTAAACATGTTAATATGCTTTCTCCCGTCATCTGGTAATCATGAAGGTCTTACTGTATATCCAAGGCATCCATTCGGAGCTTCAGCATAGCTATAATGATTTCTGCAATCAATATCTATAGCTGTAATATTTCCAATATCGCTCATTCTCAGAATGTCATAAGGTGCTCTTCCATTATAAATATTAGTGTTAACCATTGAAATGTTCTGGGCAAATAGCTCTGGGTTCAAGATTGCTTCTGGATAATTTCAGAATAAAAAATCAGAGTAATAAAGAACATCAAACCTGACAAGATCAATTTTGATGTTTTCAAACCTAATGTTTGCTGATCTCTGATTATTAGCAAAGGAGCCTGTAATGTTTAGGTTTACATTCTCTATTAGAAAGGATTAGCTCATTCCCAAAAGTATAAATCTCAGGCTAAAAATTAACCAGTTTTTATTGTAGCAACGAAATCTTCCAACATCTTGAAATGTTAAATAATTAAGCTAAGGCATGCATGGCAACACAAACTGATTTGCTCATTTGTCTCAAGAAGGTAGTCAAAATCTCTTAACAAGAAAAGTATAAAAAACCTCAACAAATAATTTCTGGGAGTCTGGGGAAACTAGAAGGTTTTTATGCTCAATTTATTTCACACGATTTGGTGCACACATTTTAAAATTCCAACTTACCAATATGCATAACTTTTGTTTGAAGATTTCCTAACATAATAAACTTAAGCAAGGAATCTGGCTCTGTTTCCTCTCTGTAGATATCAATGTTCTTAACGATTATGGAGGTCATGATAGGTAAGATGGTAGTTTTGGGATCTTCAAATAAACTTTCTTCGTAATCACTGAAATCTCCGTTTTGGAAAGCAGTAATAATGGAGGCTTCCAAAGATGCATCTACCTTGTTTATTAAATGAAGCAAGGATTTTTCAGAGATGAAGGGTTGAGGAACTGCAGTAGGAATAAGAATAGGCTGATAGGTTAAGTAATTGTAGGTTGGATGAGCAACAATTGACACCGAAGTTAGGTTTAAATAACGATTAGTACCATCTTCAATGTAAGCATCTTTAGTGTAAATGATGACTGATATGTTAGAGTGACTGAAGAACTTGGCAATTTCAAAGTTCACTGATTTGAATGAGCGATAAGGAAACTCCAGAGTTCCTAATTCAATTGGTTGATTACTCTGAGGATCTACATAATACTCAAGTGAAGTATTATCAACTCCATAATTTCTACATACGCTAGGTAAATTGAGTTGATCATCATTTAAAATAACACCTCTACATTCATCTATACACTCGAGCATCTCTAAACTAAATGTTCGTCCAACTGGGCATTCAAAGCAACTTTGTTGAGCCATTCACTGCCCAGTACAGCTTTCATCACATTCTCTTCATTGCTCACCGATATTGTCATAGTAGTAGCCTTCAAGTCACCTTTGTCACAAATGAGTGTCTAAGTCAAGGAACATGTACTCTTCTCAACTTGTGCATTGAGACGAGTTGTCTCACTCCTTGCATGAGCTGTGGCAAGGCTTGCAAATATGCCCTTCCTTGTAGTAGCCTACAATCAACATTATTTGGGCAACAAAAATTCATAATTTTTTAATTCTTAAATCTCTTAATAATACTAAAACTCGCAAAAATTGGCAAAAAGTCCTGAAACCTTCAAAAAATCTTATTATTTCTGAGTGAACTTTTAGATATGAAAAATCAAAGAAACAGTTTGATAAACTCTCAACTAAAATTAAGATACCACAGCTAAATTTTAAGAGGGCAAATACTCAGCATATTTGCTAAATGGACGCTCCAAATCGTGATCAAATTATAAACCTCGAGAATATATCCGTAGAGCCGCCTTGCTTATGTATATTAAAAGAAATAATTGTGAAATAAATTAGAAAGACAACCCACTTGGGAGCCTCCACAAACCCATAGAATGGACAGTCTACAAAGATCTTGAAAATCACATTATTTTATTCAACGGGTGAACTGTTTGGGATTTTAAAAGGAAGAGCTACAATAGAGGGAGAACTTTTAAAGTGATAGCGTTAACCTAATTATTAGTCATTACACTATCATGATGTTAAATAAAACTCATAATATTTCAGCATCTTTAGAGATAATGATGCTTAAAATTCTTTTTCTTACCTCCTGATCATTCTGTTGGGTATAGCTTAAAAGCGTGAATTAACTCAATTATCATCCACAGCATCACTGCTATCTTCCTTTGAGCCAAAATTATCTATATCAAAGTTATTAAATAAAGCTGCCAAAAATTGATCTTTTTGCCCTATATATGATTCAAAAACCCTCTTCACCAACTTTTCCGCTTCTAAACCACCCCAAAAGCATTTTAATAAGCATAACCCCACCAAAAATCTCTTTTGCTCTCTAATACTAACCATCCCCTCTACCATAACCTCCACATTCCTTCCCCCAAAAGTCCCCATTTACATTCCAACTTACCTTTCCCATAAATTATATATTTCAAAAACCCACTAACAACCGGGGTTTTGGGGTTTTGGGGTTTTGGGG